GAAGGAGGGAGAGGAGGAGAGGAGGAGAAGACAGGGAGAGGAGAGAGAGGGACGAGAGAGGAGAGGAGGGAGGAGAAGGGGAGGAGAGCGAATGGAGAGAAAAGAGGAGGAGAAGAGAAATGCGGTGCGCGGGCGGGGTTACTCGTGCCATGAGAAAGGGAGAGATGTCTGAATATGTAAACACCAGATGAACATTGGATCAAACACTTTATTCGATTTAGATATAAATTTCAGTCAGTTTTATTCTCTCTGATGTTTGGCCTCTCCTCTGCACGCCACTAACAACAAGAACATATCTCCATCATCATATATTGCCCCCTTACTCAGAACAATGAGATATCTAGATCCCAGTATCCATGTAAACATCCTGCGGGCGCTATTATTTGCCGATTTGTTTAATTCTTGTTTGTAAGTTATATGCTGACAGTATGAGAAATACATCTTATATACCCCGTCTTAAAAATGTATTAGGGAGAATAAACCAGTCAAAGGGGAATTAGCCCAATTACTTTAAGTTGCTGTACACTGGCACTTCTTCGTCATTTTTTTTTTTTTTTTTTTTTTTTACGCACATTCTTCTGACTTGCTCCCAATTTTAGCGAATTATCGATTTCCCAGTCAGACAGTAATATCCGTTCCTTCTAACCTTTTTCCGTCACTTTTTCAGCTAAGCATACTAAATCCAAGTAATACTCGCAGAAGGTGTATTGATGTTAAAATTGTCAAAAAAATTGACGGAAAGGCCTAGTCTACCAGACCTTGGCGAGATTCAGAAGAACAGGCAATTACCATCACTTATCATATTTGTCCCATTGTATTACTATTTTCATCAATCATTTCACTATTGTATTATCATCATGTTGTTATTTTTGATTTTTATGTTATTTCATTATTATTACTATCATTATCATCATCATAATTAATTATCATCGGTGATTTATTATCATTTATACTATGTATATATTTAAATTATCGATATAAATCTGACTATCCATCCATAATATCATCATCATCGACATATATCCATGATTTCTCCTTGGAAGGAGGATCACAGCATCATTTTTTTTTTGTCCGTCCGTCGTCGTCTGGTTGTGTGTGTGTGGTGTGTGTGTGTGTGTGTGTGTGTTGTGTGTGTGTGTACTGTGTGGTGCTGGTGTGTGTGTTGTATGGTTGTGTTGTGCTGATGTGTGTGCCCAGGATGTGTTCAGGTGTGTGTGGTTGGTGTGTGTGTAGATTGTTCAGTGTCAGGTGGTGTGTGGGCTGCTGTGTGTGATGTGTCGGTGTGTGTGTGTGTGTGAATGTGTGATGTGTCGGTGTGTGCGTAGTGTGTGGCTGGTCAGTGGGTGTGTCAGGGTGTGTGTGTCTGAGATTAGTGTTGGTCGTGATTGTTGGCCAGTCGTCCCAAGTGGTGTGTGTGTGTGTGTGTGTGTGTGTGTGTATGTGGTGGGTGTGTGTGGGTGTGTGTGTGTCTGTGGTGTGTGTGGTGTGTGCTGTTGTGTGTGTGTGTGTCAGAGATGGATGGTTGTGGTGTGTGTGTGTGGTCAGTGTCCAGTGTGTGTGTTGTTTTGTGTGTGGGTGGGTTGTGTTCGTGGTTGTGTTGGTGTGTTTGTGGGTAGTGTGTGTGTGTGTGTGTGTGGTGTCCAGTGTGTCTATGGTCAGTGTGTGTACACTGTGTGTGTGTGTGTGTGTGTGTCGTGTCGTGCTGTGTGTGTGTGTGGCGGGTGCCCATAGTGTGTGTTGTGGCGTGTGCTGTTGTGTGTGCTAGATCGGTGTGTGGTGTTCTGTTGTGTGTGTGTGTGTTGGTGTGTGTGTGTGTGTGTGTGTGTGTGCCCCTGTGTGTGATGTGTGTGTGTCGTGAATGTTGAAAAGAGAAGCCGTCTTTATCCAATGATCGGACACATCCGGGGCAAAAAAAAAGAAAAAAAAACAAGCAAAAAAGGAATCATTAATCTCAATCTTTTAAACATCATTTCACTAAACTTTGAAAACGGACTGCTGGTTATCCTTATCAATGATGATTCAAGTTCTCACCGTAAGTATTTGTCGGAATATAATATATTGACTAGTTAAACATGTACAAATGTGCAAACGTGCAAGCATAGGTTTCCCTTTCGGCATATTTTTCAATTACTCAAGATGGCAAAAAATATTGAGCAGGGTATTTAAGCGTGATTCCTTTATAAGTGGTGTAGTTCTAAAAAATAATTCATGCCCACATTTCGAGCCATTGGCGCCACTGTCGGTTTCTGCACCCTTGGAAGTATTGATGCTAGACCGCCAGTCTCTTTCTTCTCTCTTCTCTCTCCTCCCTTCTGCCCTTCCTCTCTCTCTTCTCTCTCCCTCCCTTTCATTCCTCTCGTCTCTCTCTCTCCCTCCCTCCCTCTCTCTCTCTCTCTCCCTCCCTCCCTTCCTCTCTCTCTTCTCTCCCTCCCTTCCTCTCTCTCCTCTTCTCCCTCCCTCCCTTCCTCTCTCTCTTCTTCTCCCTCCCTCCCCTATTCCTCTTTCTCTCTCTTCTCTCTCCCTCCCTTCCTCTCTCCTTCCCTCCGCTCCCTTTCCCTCTCTCTCTCTCTCTCTCCATCTCCCTTCCTCTCTCTCGCTCTCTCCCTCCCTCCCTTCCTCTCTCTCTCCCTCCAATTCCCTTCCTCTTCTCTGCGTCTCTCTCTCCCTCCCTTCCTCTTCTCTCTCTCTCTCTCCCCCTCCCTTCCTTCTTCCTCTCTCCCTCTGTTTCTACTATGTTGATGTCTCCTTTTTGAAGGACACTAAAAGGGGACAAGACCCTTGTAGGGGTTCACATATGGGTTCTTATACCCTCCCTTCTGCTGTCTCTCTCTCCCTCCGTCCCCCACACTCTCTCTCTCTCTCTTCCCTCCCTCCCTTCCTCTCTCCTTCTCTCCTCCATCCCTTTCCTCTCTCTCGCTTCTCTCCCTCCCTCCCTTCCTCTCTCTCTTCTCCTCCATCCTCTCTCTCCTCTCCCTCCCTCCCTTTCCTCTCCTCTTCTGTTTTCTACTATGTGATGTCTCCTTTCTGAGACACTAAGGACAAGACCTTGTAGGGGTTCACATATGGGTTCTTATACCCTCCCTTCACTGTCTCTCCCTCCTTCCCTCCCTCCCCTCCCACGCTCTCTCTCTCCCTCTCCCCCCCCTCCCTCTCACTCTATGGGCATGTGTGTGTGTGTTCTTACCTATTCTTTTAAAAATAGTCCTTGTTTGCTTTCCTGATATGTATTCTTGGCACATTCAATATTATTCTTTTTTATTGTTGTATTTGGAAAAATAAATGTCTACATTATTGTCATCACCTCAAACTTTTTGCTATGAGATCTTGTTCCTATTTTACAAGAAAATTACAAATTTCTAATTTTCCTGTTGCTTGCAGTATGATTTGAAATCAAAACGATTTTGCTTCATTTTCTTTTTTCCATCAGTGTTCTGTTCTACTTTTTCAGTAAGACCCTGAAAGGTGGTGTGTGCGAGGTCTATTATGTTCTTCTCATTTTGAATGAAGAAATCCATACACAATGAATTTGATATTGATAAATCCTTCAATGAATATACATCTCTAGTAGATATTGTAGATATAAATTTTTGCTTAAGTTTAGAAAAAAGGATATTTAAGAAAGAAGAGGAGATACGAGAGATAATGATGCTGTTGTTAGTTCAGTCAACTTGAGAATAGTAACATTAATGTTAGAATGAAAAAATCATAACCACACACTAGCATTATGTGGTGGTGCTGGATAGGCACCTGGTTATGAGCCCACCCTATAATAATAATTTTGACAGTTATTGTAAAAATAGGAAGTGATAATTACATTATGTTGATAAGTACAATAACAGTAATGATAGTAATGATACTACTAATAAAATCAATATCATCATCATTACATTATTCCTGTTATATTATCATTATTATTGTTGTTCAGGCTCCCGATGGTAACCATAGATCCCCTCCCTCAAACAAGGTATAGTGCTTCTCCCTAAAATATATATTTTTAGATATGCTACTACTAGCATTTTTTTTCTTTATTTTGTGATGCGGATGGCATTATGAAAATTAAGTGGTATATATATATATAATTTCATTATGAATATGTCTTACCATGAGAGATAACTATATGGACACAATAGCCATGTAAGTTCTTTGTACAAATTCATCTTTGCATCACCAGTTTTAGGTCTAAACTTTGAAAGGCACACAACCATATGGATCTCTGATTTCAGTATTGGTGCTTTTGTTTTGTACCTCTATCATCATTACACACACACAAAAAGGATAAACAAACTTCCAAGTAATTTTTATTCTTTTCCTTATAATGACACAGAATACTTGAAGTCTGATGCAAAACACAGGGA